CTATTTATTCTTTAAACGCTTCTTAATTGAAGATTATTTCTATCACGTGCACATATGTCGATGCTTTATATGCATACCATATTTTGAAAAATGACGTTTCAATTTTTAAAAATGCAGTCGTGGTTAAACGTGCAAATTAACCTCTTTCATTTTTATATCCAAATTCACATGTACAATAAACATTGAGTCACACTGTTCTAAATAATTACTAGTTTGGAATTTAATTTATGGTGTAACTTCCTTATGTTTTTAGTATAACAACATCCATTATATACATCATTATTATACATATGTAATACTATCTACTGAGGCAATGATAAACAGAATCTTATACTAGTTTTCATCCATCTGATATTGTTGGAACTCGACATGATTTTTCCTATCAATGATGTTATCTATTTTATTTCCCGTGCACATTATCATGTACCGCAGCCAGATAAAGGTTTTAGGGCTAGGGTTAGGACAAGCTGTCCTAACTGCCGGGTATAACTTGCAGATTGTGCATTAATAACCCACAAAGGATTATAACTGTATCCGTGGCGAACCGAATAATGTTTTAACACTGTTGTCATTTTGATTTCACCAAGCGATTTGTTGTGGTAGCAGCCACAGACTACTCACTTACCCCGAGATGTACGACTAGGGCAGAAGCCTTTATAAACAAAGTCGATTAAGTTTCTCGATCCTAATCTGATAACAGAGGAAGTAAATAAAATAAGGTTCGCACTATTGCTGTTACTTTTTGACATTTAGATATTGAAATTGATGTAAAATATATAAAAAAGAGATATTGTTCCTAATTGTTTACCTGGAGATGTACAAACTATGTTTCTAACATAAAATTATGAGTGGAAATATAAAGATTTCTTTACCGGTTCACTAATAAACTGTTTTAACAATATTAACGACACTAAAATCCACGTCATGTATTAAAACCATATAAGGAAATATCGTTTGATTAGTGACCAATCCCAATGAACCATTTGCTGCAGTGAAACACGTTGAACTAACATAACTAACTTAGATACACAAAACTCATCAACTGAGGTCGTTGTTTGTTTGTTTGTTACTTTCTGATGACTTACGTCGTCTTATTTTTATTAAATAAAAATCAATTGATGGTTACATTTCAGATTAACTCTGATGTTGAAACTCCTAACTACAAACAGGTGCCATGCTTTTCTAATTTTCTAAGAGCTGTGCATTGGAATATATATATTTACGAACATAAAGCCTCTAGACTTAACCGTTAACTGGACAATCGTCTTTATTGTAGTGTTGGACAATGGGAGTGACTCCTCCCACGGTACAGTATATTACAGGAATGTGTTACTATAACGTCCTAACGGGAGTTAGACGTGTTGGACAGATGTGTTAAGTAGGCTGTATCTAACGATTTTTCATGGAAATAATTGAAGTAATTGACTTGATTGATGATGTAATAGATATGCAATTATAAAGTAATTAATCAAACACTTGGTAATTGGATAAAGTACGCCATCCGTTATTCAAATGTCTATAGAACAGTCTCCAGCTGATGTCTATTTAAATCAAGTTTATAGTGATTAACATTTAAAACTTAAATCTACACTCACTTCAGATCATTTTCACCTTAAATTTGGATTTTGTACACACTGTTGTTTGTTTGATTGCTGGATTGTTTGTTCCATATACAGCCAGTGCCATTTTCAGATAGTGTCTCCTTGTAGTAGCTGGTGCCTGGTGTCCCCTTGTAGTAGCTGGTGCCTGGCGTCCCCTTGTAGTAGATGGTGACTACCTTACTGAATAACATACGGGAGGCACATCGCGTATCATTCAGAGCAATACGAGTAAAGTGTCTTGCCCAAGCACAAAACCACAACAGCACAGACTGGTCTATTACAACGTGCGACTATGAGGGGTGCTTCTCGTGTTTGCTTTCTCAGGCTCATGTCATTGAACGAAACAGTTGTATGAAGCAGTAAACGTATTGGTTTGACTCTACTATGTCTAAAAAGTGTTATCCGCTTGTGCGTCTTTTGTTCAATCGTTCTAACAAGGATGCATACACCGTTATGTGGGTTACGTGGGACAAGTAAGTTCAATATTTGACTTTTTCAGTTATCGTTATTGCGTATCGCCTTCATCATCATTTTTCTATCTACAGGAATATAAAAATTAACAATGAAAATCGATGTATGGTGATGTGTGGTTTTGCTGTGGTATATTAACCGTTGTGTTACACATGGTATATCTGTCGTTGTGGTATATCTGTTGTTGTGGTATCTGTCGTTGTGGTATATCTGTCGTTGTGGTACATATGTCGTTGTGGTACATTTGTCGTTGTGGTATATCTGTCGTTGTGATATATTTGTCGTTGTGGTATATCTGTTGTTGTGGTATCTGTCGTTGTGGTATATCTGTCGTTGTGGTACATATGTCGTTGTGGTACATTTGTCGTTGTGGTATATCTGTCGTTGTGATATATTTGTCGTTGTGGTATATCTGTCGTTGTGTTATATCTGTCGTTGTGGTATATCTGTCGTTGTGATATATTTGTCGTTGTGGTATATCTGTCGTTGTGTTATATCTGTCGTTGTGGTATATCTGTCGTTGTGTTATATCTGTCGTTGTGGTATATCTGTTGTTTAGGTATATTGATCGTTGTGGTTTATCTGTCGTTGTGTTATATTTGTCGTCTTGGTATAGTTGTCGTTGTGGTATATTTGTCGTTGTGGTATATTTGTCGTTGTGGTATATCTGTCGTTGTGGTATATCTGTCGTTGTGATATATTTGTCGTTGTGGTATATCTGTCGTTGTGGTATATTTGTCGTTGTGGTATATCTGTCGTTGTGGTATATTTGTCATTGTGGTATACTTTTCGTTGTGATATATTGATCGTTGTGGTATATCTGTCGTTGTGGTATATTGATCGTTGTGGTATATCTGTCGTTGTGGTATGTTTGTCGTTGTGGTATATCTGTCGTTATTGTATATCTGTCGTTATGGTATATTAATCGTTGTGGTATATCGGTCGTTTTGGTATATCTGTCGTTGTGGTATATCTGTCGTTGTGGTATATTGATCGTTGTGGTAAATCTGTCGTTGTGTTATATCTGTCGTTGTTGTATAGTTGTCGTTGTGGTATATCTGTCGTTGTGGTATATCTGTCGTTATTGTATATCTGTCGTTATGGTATATCTGTCGTTGTGGTATATTGATCGTTGTGGTATATCTGTCGTTGTTGTATATCTGTCGTTATGGTATATCTGTCGTTGTGGTATATTGATCGTTGTGGTATATCTGTCGTTGTGGTATATCTGTCGTTGTGTTATATTTGTCGTTGTGGTATATCTGTCGTTGTGGTATATTTGTCGTTGTGATATATCTGTCGTTGTTGTATATTGGTCAGATTAATTTGCTTATGGAAATATTTTCTTGTTTCGGTCGTTGTTGACAATTCTTAAGCGAAATTTGGAAAATGTATATTCAAATGAACTCGTAACCGTTCCATACGTATTTGAGAAAAATTTGTTTTAAAGTCGTTGGAAAGAATGTTATGAGTTGTCGCTGTTTCCCATGGGGTATATCTGTTGTATTGTATAACCACTATCCTTTATTTTATTGTGTGACGTAGTGAATATTGTTTAAGAATTATTATTCCTGCAATATGATGCTGCAAAATAATTGGTTGACTTTTTCCTATCAACATACAACAAAAACAAGCCTTTCAGAGTAACTGGAATGCCATTTTATTGGTAAGTAGTCTACGGAAGTGTACAAAATCTCGGGACACTCCTTTCCGGAGAAACCTTCTCGGAATCGCATAAACCTCCATCCGTCTTCACAAAAAAATCCAAAAAATGTTGAACATAATAATTATTTTCTGCATATACGTACCCATTTATGAATCATAAATTTTGCGAATTACAAGATATTGTTTACGGTTTTGGCAGAATAATTCGTATAAATTATTGTAGAAGTTATCTCCCTTGGAATGTTAATTCGTTTACAGTCGCTGTGTGTTTTGATGGGAAATAAAAAGTTCTATAGTTTTGGAAGTTTTGTTATACCTTAAATAATCTTATAATCTTAATGTGTTCAGATGTGATTCTTTTATCGCAGTTATTCATAGTCTGGCTTGGAGAAAATAAAGATGTATTCCTTCAATATTTCTCTAAAAATTTCAGATCAGTTTCACATTATTTTTTGATAAAATAAAAACTATACTGTTCTTCACAATTTAAACATGATTTATATTTATATCGCATGATATAAAGATAATACTGTTTTTTGTGTTGTTCCTTCGAGGCAATTATTTCACGGGGAAGACAAAACACACCATGGTTAAAATAAAAATCGATAAATGATGATTCAAAACACAACTTTTATCCTTCAATCAATCATAAACAAGCTTAATACACACCCGTGTCCAGAATTTCACAAACTCGACATTTCAAAGTAGATTTGCACTGTTTATCCCGAAATATGATGTAACTGTCGCCACCTATCGGGAGAAAACCATAATGGCTGTACAATGTAGCAACATACCGCTATTAATGAAATTCTTTAAAACGGCTATCTCTAAAGATATACATTTTAATGCTCAGTAAGTGGAATAAAACATAATAATATTAAGCCCGTTTTATGAGGACCTAAATTGATTGAAAATTCTGAAAATATCTGAAATGAAGATGATTTTAAAAGTTCAGTAAGTAAAATCTAAAATGAAAAACAACGTGGACGCTTCCACAGACGAGAGGTGTTTAGAGTTACTTCCCTTTAAATGGCACTAATAATGAAGTAGATATAAAGGTGAAAAAATGTCCTCGTTTTTCCCGAATTTATCTTATTGCATAGCATCCGGTAGGATCAGATTAATTAATTAATTACTAATTATAAGAAAAAACAATAAATAGTTTCCAGAGAGATATCTAAACTGTTTTGTGCGATTTTAAAGCTACAAGAAATTCAATTGAAGAGAGAAAGAACGATGGATAAAAAACAATATGATGACAAGTCTTTGAAATCTCGGGACCAGGTTAAACAGAAGGTCACGTGACATCATTATCCAGCAGCAGCTTGATGTGTTACCGATTTTTCATCATCTGGATGAATTCTGAAAGTAAAATTACAAGACTTTAGATTTCTCCGCATTGCTAGTACTCAGTTGCACAGGGTTTGTTTAGGATTTCTTAAAGTTGTTGTGTTCAAGAAAATAGATTATCAGCGAATAATAATATTCTAATCATATATCAATATTTTACTACCTCACTGGCTGATTGGTTAAGCCACAAGATTTTAATAATTTATTTTCATTCTGACGTTTTTCGCATCTATTTAGATTGAAATGTTTGCACGTGGCGAACATTTACGTTACGTTTTTAATTGTAACTCAGGGATGCCCTCGCACAAAATGAAATTTTAAAACATGTTGATATACAAATTGATATATAACAATATACATAACATAAATAAATATCACTGAAAAACTCATTCCAATATGGGCGTTCACTGTAGTTATGACGAATTCGCGTTCATACTGGCAAAGAAGAATTTTCAAACCCTACAGTTTCAAAGCATTTACGAATACACTGCTTATAGGAACAATGTCAAAACTGACTCATGTGTCAGGTTTAAATTTACTCTGGGTTGGTTAAGATACAGAAGCATTCACATGGTCAGCACGTGCCATACTCTACCTTCGTTCCAGAAACACATTCACATTTCTGCCGTTTATTAAATTAGTATGATAACAAAGTTATGAATTGATTTAAATAAAGCACTATATTGTGAGATCTGAGGGGTGGTGTGTGTGGTTTTAATAGTCATGTTGTCAACCAATGTCATTTAAAGGCGAGGTTACTTTATTTTGGCTATAGCAATGGACAACATGAGGCAGGCCCGCCCATATCCTATTCCAAGCAATCGGGCTAAAGTGTTTTGGCAAAGGAAACAATAATGACGACCATGCAAGACAATTGATAATTTTAACTTCTTGAGAAAAATAAAACACCCGATCATAGAGATCAAACCACCAACCTCACATTATCATCTGAGGTTTCAAAACCAGATGGTTTACCAGCTCAGAAATGGCGGCCCATCATAATGCCAAATTCAAATGATCTTCTCTCGAGAACGAAACACATCACAGATGGTGACAAATTGAACGTCTTTTTTTACTCGAAGATTTGTATCAATTTTTAAAATCAGAATCACAAATGTCGATCAGGTGAAATTTTAGATGACAGACTAAACATAATTTTTTTTAAAAAAGATTATTTTGTTTGATAAAAAGGAGGTTTTTACTATTATATTATTTTTTTCTATTTCAATTTATCTTGTCACTGATCATAACCTTTCAGTCCTGAATGGAAACACAGAGTGGTCTTTGTATGTGATGTGCCAAAGTGTTGCATGGCATGAAAAACATTATTCCAACAACCGGCGTCTACCCCGCAGACAAGGGGATTCCTGTATATCATACTGTATATTTTCGCCTGGTTTTTTTTCATTTGACCATTTAAAATTCTTATGAGAGAAAGATATATAATTAGAAAAAATCATCCTATTTTTTAATTTACAAACATTGACTTTGTCTTTCAGTTCAAAAATTAAACATTCACGATTAAGATTTTTAAAAAATATTTATCAGGATTGGCTTATAGGTTCAATGGTTGGCTAATATCACGTAATAGCTAGCTACTTGTATATCACGTGATAGCTTGCTACTTATATATCACGTGATAGCTTGTTACTTATATATCACGTGATAGATAGCTACTTATATATCACGTGATAGCTTGCTACTTATATATCACGTGATAGCTTGCTACTGATCTATCACGCGATAGATAGCTTCTTATGTATCACGTGATAGCTTGCTACTGATATATCACGTGATAGATAGCTACTTATATATCACGTGATAGCTTGCTACTTATATATCACGTGATAGCTTGCTACTGATCTATCACGTGATAGATAGCTTCTTATGTATCACGTGATAGCTTGCTACTTATATATCACGTGATAGCTTGCTACTGATATATCACGTGATAGATAGCTACTTATATATCACGTGATAGCTTGCTACTTATATATCACGTGATAGATATCTACATACCGACGTAGTTGATTTGTCCGTCGCCGTCCAAGTCGGCGGCCTTCATCATATCGTCTATGTCCTTATCGTTGATTCGTTCGCCCATGGACTTAAGTACCTGACGGAGTTCGGCTGCACTTATCACGCCGTCACCATTTTGGTCCATGGCTTTGAAGGCGTCGACATACTCTTTTTTCTCAAGGTCTGATGTCAGTCGCTTCGACATCATCACTAAAAATTCATTAAATTCAATAGTCCCATTTCCTGGAATGGAAAGAAAACATGTGTCCAAGATTGGTATAATAAGAGGTATAAAGACGGACATTGATTTGATGAAATAATGATATGAAATATTGTTTGGATCACAATGCAATAAAATAGCATGTCAAAGAGATCAAATTAATGCATGTTTAATTAAAGAGCCACTCTACGTCACGTGAAAGCAATACTCATAAAATGAGATGTTGACCGTTTCATAAGTGTCGAAGAAAATGATTACTTGTCGGAAATTGGTCTGATATAAAGTATTGCACATGAAGAAAAAAAATGTATGTATTGTATTGTGCGACATATCCAAAGCCTTTGATAGGGTCTGGCGAAATTGAAAGCGTGCGGAATTTCAGGCGAATAGTTTATTTGGTTAGAAAATTATCTATCTTCCAGATATCAAAAGGTATTTTTTTAAACATTTCATATTCTTCTGAAGGGTTCATTGAGGCAGGGGTTCCACAAGGCTCTATTCTAGGGCCACTTTTATTTCTTATTTTGATCAATGACATAGCAGGTATTTTTGAATCGACTATAAATACTTGGTCAAAAACTTGATTGGCTAATTTTAATCCTGGAAAAAACCCCAGAATTATCATTTATTTCAAATTCCATTGATATCGAAGAAGACTTAGAATCTGATGGGAAAGTACTATCATAAACATTTAAGTGTTACCTTTAATTCGAAGGCAGTGTCTAAAGGAAATTGAAACGCTTATTAACAAGGGATGCTCTTTTAAAAATGTATAAGGCTTTTATTTTACCTGTTTTAGAACATGCTTGTGAGTTGTGGGACGGTTGCAGTATGTTTGAATCAGAAAAGTTAGGAAAAGCCCAACGTGAAACGGCTCGCATTATATTAGGAATGCCTTCATATTCTGTATTAATACTGTATACCATGAAACGGATCTTGAAACCCCATCTAACCATAGAAAAGTTAGGAAACATCAACTAATGTATAAGATGCATGATAAATTAACTCCTGAATACCTCAATCATCTTTTGCCGCCTTAATCTGGCGAACATAATCGTTACGAATTACGTAACAATAATAAATATAGGATTCCTCCTTTCAGGCTGTCTTTAACTCATTCTTCTTTTCTACCCTCTACCCTTTATTGTTGGAATAACTCAGAAAATTCGGTTCGATTCCAACCCACTATTAATTCATTCAAATCTTGTTTAACATCAAATAATCAGTCAAGTCCACAAATTTACTACAAAATTGGAAATCGCAAACTTAATCTATTGCATACAAAGATCCGACACCATTGCAGTTCCCTTAATTATGACCTTTTTAGAGTTAACCTCGTCGAGAATGCATCTTGTGAATGTGATCATCTTTGTGAGAATGTCTTTCACTATTTTGTTGAATGTCAATGTTTCTCGAACAAAAGACGCATTTTAGTACAAAAAATTAAATAATGGGAACGTTGCGTTAGATATAGATTTTTTGTTTGTTTGGCAATTCTCAATTTTTATTGGACCATAATGTAAACAATTTTAAATCTGTGCAAAACTATATTAAATCCAGCTAGAGATTTTGATACCAATGTGTAACAATAATTATATATTTGTATTGTCATGATTGTAATGTCATTTAATTGTATATTGTGAGAAGGAGTTGATAAGTTGCAATATCTTGTGCCAAATCCTTTGTCGAATTTTTGGCAATACATATGTCTAAACTAGTTAAACTATAAAATAAACCAGTTTCTTTATTTAGTTTGGTTGAAATATGCTGACCTGAAGGCACTGGAAAACAAACACATGAAAAAAAAAAAAAAAAAAAACAAGCAAGAATTAGTCATAAGATAAAGAAGAACTATGCTTGGGTACGTTAAACATTGTATGTAATGCAATTTTAGGGATGTCGATTTAAACACAACGATCATTATCAATTAATTCTTTGAGGGAAAAACAATTTGTCGGGAAAAAACCCAACATATTTTTTATACAAAAATAAATTTTCTGTGGAAGGAACCAAACTCGTTGCTACCATACAATGTGCGAATTGGTCCTTTGGCGCCACCTGTAAATTTATATTAAAAAAGAACAAAACCGAGTCTAATCAAATTTCCCATTTCCCGCCATGACGCCGTCGTTATTGCAAATTCAACATCGTACATATCTCTGAGGATCTCTTATGTTCAAAATAACACGAGGAAACGTTTAACTAATTTGATTTTCACTGTCTGTCACGGTACTGGTATATCTCTAGTGACTGTTAATCATACACCGTGTCAAAAGTGCAAATTTTGGCGAGAAAACACCTATCGCGTTGCCATGCAAATTGCACTTTTGCCTTTGCGTGGATTTCCTACAAAATAGACATTCTAACGCAGATTTTTCGGAATTTTAGGAAACGAAAGTCAAGTCTACAGTTCAAAGTTCTTCTCCTGAAAAACTTCGAGTGTTTTCATCCCATTTTTTAATTCAGAAGAAACAACCATGAACTATGTTTTGTCGCGAATATCGTCCTCGTTACAATGAGTACTATAAAACACATCTCTTGAATACATGTTCTTGTAAATTAAGAAGCAGCGACCTAGTTAGGAGATTTAGGTCTTTCTAGCTACATGAAAGTTGATTTCCCATATGGGTTTCCTTTGCGAATTTTCCCCTTTTAAGACTGGTGATCAGCTCTTTGATTTATCATCAAACTTCCTGCCTTTGTCCATACATTTCACTACTGATAAATTGATGACCCATTTGCCTAATGAACAAGATAACATACACGTGATTAGAGAACCAATGTAAGCACGCCCGTAAACGATGGATTACAAATAGATTCTTCGCAATACGAGGATGAAGGTTGGGTTGAAGTTTAGTTGAATAATAGTGGACTTGGCAGACATCCCCGCTGTATATACATTGAGCGGAGAAATACATCTCACTCTATTTATGGCATTTTTAACGTTGAAGTACCGATAAATATAGCTTTGTCATTATTTCATTATTTGTATTCCCTACAGTACTTACTATGAATAAATCACCACTCAAATCTATAATCCCTGTGAGCGGTTGATGCTACAATATTTCAATTCTATACAGATAAATAGACTAGTATAAAGATTATGTGTATTGTCTATTTAAATTAAGGTCTTTTAAAGACGTTATTGTTTTATAAGTGATAGAGACTATGTGGTGCCAAAAGAGACAAAGGATGTATTACATTATTTTTCAGTAAAGAGATAAGAATAAAGTACCTTTACCTTACCAAAGCCAATATCACTTTGATATTACTGTTAGAAATACTTTTCAGTAGGTTAACCTTTAAAAAGGTTTGTTAATCCGAGGCGAGCTGGTGGGTGTATAATGTCATATATCTACACAAACATTTTTATATCATGATTCCAAAATTTGTGGTCCCCCACCCTGGTACATCAGTGTTGTAACGTTGTGGTCCCCAACCCTGGTACATCAGTGTTGTTACGTTGTGGTCCCCCACCCTGGTAAATCAGTGTTGTTACGTTGTGGTCCCCCACCCTGGTACATCAGTGTTGTTACGTTGTGGTCCCCCACCCTGGTACATCAGTGTGGTTACGTTGTGGTCCCCCACCCTGGTACATCAGTGTTGTTACGTTGTGGTCCCCCACCCTGGTACATCAGTGTTGTTACGTTGTGGTCCCCCACCCTGGTACATCAGTGTTGTTACGTTGTGGTCCCCCACCCTAGTAAATCAGTGTTGTTACGTTGTGGGTCCCCCTGGTACATCAGTGTTGTAACGTTGTGGTCCCCCACCCTGGTACATCAGTGTTGTTACGTTGTGGTCCCCCACCCTCGTACATCAGTGTTGTTACGTTGTGGTCCCCCACCCTAGTAAATCAGTGTTGTTACGTTGTGGGTCCCCCTGGTACATCAGTGTTGTAACGTTGTGGTCCCCCACCCTGGTACATCAGTGTTGTAACGTTGTGGTCCCCCACCCTGGTACATCAGTTTTGTTACGTTGTGGTCCCCCACCCTGGTACATCAGTGTTGTTACGTTGTGGTCCCCCACCCTGGTACACCAATGTTACGTTGTGGTCCCCCACCCTGGTACATCACTGTTGTTACGTTGTGGTCCCCCACCCTGGTACATCAGTGTTGTAACGTTGTGGTCCCCCACCCTGGTACACCAATGTTGTTACGTTGTGGTCCCCCACCCTGGTACATCAGTGTTGTTACGTTTTGGTCCCCCACCCTGGTACATCAGTGTTGTTACGTTGTGGTCCCCCACCCTCGTACATCAGTGTTGTTACGTTGTGGTCCCCCACCCTAGTAAATCAGTGTTGTTACGTTGTGGTCCCCCACCCTGGTACATCAGTGTTGTAACGTTGTGGTCCCCCACCCTGGTACATCAGTGTTGTAACGTTGTGGTCCCCCACCCTGGTACATCAGTGTTGTTACGTTGTGGTCCCCCACCCTGGTACATCAGTGTTGTTACGTTGTGGTCCCCCACCCTGGTACACCAATGTTACGTTGTGGTCCCCCACCCTGGTACATCAGTGTTGTAACGTTGTGGTCCCCCACCCTGGTACACCAATGTTGTTACGTTGTGGTCCCCCACCCTGGTACATCAGTGTTGTTACGTTGTGGTCCCCCACCCTGGTATATCAGTGTGGTTACGTTGTGGGTCCCCCTGGTAATCAGTGTTGTTACGTTTTGGTCCCCCACCCTGGTACATCAGTGTTGTTACGTTGTGGTCCCCCACCCTGGTATATCAGTGTGGTTACGTTGTGGGTCCCCCTGGTAATCAGTGTTGTTACGTTGTGGTCCCCCACCCTGGTATATCAGTGTGGTTACGTTGTGGGTCCCCCTGGTAATCAGTGTTGTTACGTTGTGGTCCCCCACCCTGGTACACCAATGTTGTTACATTGTGGTCTCCCACCCTTGTACATCAGTGTTGTTACGTTGTGGTCCCCCACCCTGGTACATCAGTGTTGTTACATTGTGGTCCCCCACCCTGGTACATCAGTGTTGTTACGTTGTGGTCCCCCACCCTCGTACATCAATGTTGTTACGTTGTGGTCCCCCACCCTGGTACAACAATGTTGTTACGTTGTGGTCCGCCACCCTGGTACATCAGTGTTGTTACGTTGTGGTCCCCCACCCTGGTACAACAATGTTGTTACGTTGTGGTCCCCCACCCTGGTACAACAATGTTGTTACGTTGTGGTCCCCCACCCTGGTACATCAGTGTTGTTACGTTGTGGTCCCCCACCCTGGTACATCAGTGTTGTTACGTTGTGGTCCCCCACCCTGGTACATCAGTGTTGTTACGTTGTGGTCCCCCACCCTGGTACATCAGTGTGGTTACGTTGTGGTCCCCCACCCTCGTACATCAGTGTTGTTACGTTGTGGTCCCCCACCCTGGTACATCAGTGTTGTTACGTTGTGGTCCCCCACCCTGGTACATCAGTGTTGTTACGTTGTGGTCCCCCACCCTGGTACATCAATGTTGTTACGTTGTGGTCCCCCACCCTGGTACATCAATGTTGTTACGTTGTGGTCCCCCACCCTGGTACAACAATGTTGTTACGTTGTGGTCCCCCAGGTTCGATAGGCAGATTGGATTGATTTTGTATTAATGGAGTTAAATATTTCAAGAGATATTGAAAACGTAAGCCATACATTCATATAAACACACACATAGGAAACATTTGTCTCTGTCCCTGATGGTACATATATCCATATGCTACAGAGAGGAGACCATAAGTTCTGGCGAATTTTACAACGTTACAAGAAAGCAATGTTCCTATTTAAAGTTCATGAATATAGCTCCTGCCTGGTGGCAACTTTCTGGACACGGTAGAACCATTTCCTGGTAGCATCAAGGATTCCCAGATCACCAAATGTATCGCTTTCCTGACTTGAGAAGGATGACAATGTGGTTGGTGATCACGGCTTCAGGGATGTTTTATCAGATTTAGATTCAACATGGCCAGACAGTACAAGAGTCCCCTTGTTTAGTTCCTAAAACCCAGGCAGTCACAATATATCGATCTTCAAGTAAATCGATATTATATATCTATTATAAAGCCTATAAGTTAGTAGTATCCTCCAACCGGAGATTTAAACAAGGCACCTTGCCTCTAACTACTGACTGATGTCACTGAGGCACTTTTTAGAACTGATACAACTTGCCACAACTGTAACACGAGAGCACTAGCTGAAAAAGTCTTTGTTTCTGAGAAAAGGATGCAACAGCAGATAATTTGTACTATGTTCAGGTTGTTTATGTACGTGCGCATCTCAGTGGTGGTGACTACAAAGTCTGGATCTCTGAACACTACTGAAACATTACATTGTGAAATCCACTCACGACATAAGAAGCAGGGTTAAAGTGTGTATACAGAGTACAACACGACTGTTCTGATACTACCAATACCAAACAGGATTATAACAACCGGTGTCCAACTGGACAGAAAAACCTTGTGTCCCCAAAAATCCAATATTCTATGGTATTTACGTATGCAACAGCAAACCATTGCATCCAAAAAGTCAAGCGCTTCAAGAAAGTCCTTTAATGAGATGGCGTCCATATTCTATTTCTGTTTAAGCTGTTAAATATATAGAGTAAAATATGTCAAATGTGCAGCACTTTAGCTGTATACCTCTAGTTCACCAACACTGAGGGTATTAAGTATCAAGCGGTTCTAGTTCACCAACACTGAGGGTATTAAGCATCAAGCGGTTCTAGTTCACCAACACTGAGGGTATTAAGCATCAAGCGGTTCTCGTTCACCAACACTGAGGGTATTAAGTATCAAGCGGTTCTAGTTCACCAACACTGAGGGTATTAAGTATCAAACGGTTCTAGTTCACCAACACTGAGGGTATTAAGTATCAAACGGTTCTAGTTCACCAACACTGAGGGTATTAAGTATCAAACGGTTCTAGTTCACCAACACTGAGGGTATATCAAACGGTTCTAGTTCACCAACACTGAGGGTATTAAGTATCAAACGGTTCTAGTTCACCAACACTGAGGGTATTAAGCATCAAGCGGTTCTAGTTCACCAACACTGAGGGTATTAAGCATCAAGCGGTTCTAGTTCACCAACACTGAGGGTATTAAGCATCAAGCGGTTCTAGTTCACCAACACTGAGGGTATTAAGTATCAAACGGTTATCATTTGTCACTGCAGCCGTATTCAAAATCCAACTATTAGTACAGGTTTGAGAGGAAGATACCTAACCTTATGTATGGAAGACCTTAGATACAAAAAATGTTCACTTCGCTCGTCAAGGATTCGAAATCAAGGAGGCAAATAACCTTAACTTTCTGGAAAAACGCCTCTCGCATATTCTATCAGATTTTATTCCTTTGCACAAAACGTCTGTAATTACCATATTTTGGCAATGGATCCTAAACTATATTTTTGTTACATTGTTTTGAACAGACTGCAATATGGAAAGTATAATTTTGGTCTTTAAAAGAATTGCACACAAAGTGGTGTGTGCGATTTTTTAATATGTCATCACATTTTTATCTCTTTATCTGAACTTATGCCCTAGTTTGGTCTAAACAACTTCTCACATTAATATATGGATATTCATTATTTATCTTAAAAGGATAAATCTGGTTTTTTGAAAATGAAAATTCGCTTATTTTTTTTTTCAAAAATGCCACACGAAATTGGAGTATTTTCCAATGTGGTATCCAAAAAAGTCTTCATGAACAAACTAAGTTTGCCTTTTAAGCCTCTTTTGTGAATGAAATTCAAGGACTCTTGCATTCACGTCTTCATAAAAGTAACGTGATATATTTCCAATGTATATAATGAATATTCTATTGCGCAATCTTAAATTAAAGATTGCAAACTTTAGAATATATTTTCTGTTATCAATATTCTAGAGTAGAAGCACTTTCTTTCGACTGCGATGAAGCATTATTTGACAAGGCCTGCAAATGATCTCCTACAAACCAGTAATTCAATATTACTGTTAGTTTTTTCCTGGAGTGATATTTTTTTTATAATATTTGGATAATTTGTCATGAGAGTACTGTCAATTTGCTGCTAATGTCAAATAAACGGATTGGTAGGCTTTGTTTAATTTAAACAGCATTTCATTGATTTTAAACAGGAGATAAATGCGTCACGTAATCACTGCACACGGCTACAACACCGCGTGCGTCTTTTGTAAACAATTTCCATTTTATTTGCAATTCTGTAAAATTGATTTTAAAAAAATACTCTCCCATTTTCTATCGAAATCAAATGCAATCTAACAATAGTTGGGGCAGTCTCTTTCAAGTGAAACCTACAGGTGTATATGTATGATTTCACACTCTAAAACTTATTTACTACACCTACATACTACTTAGTCTTTACAAGAAAAAAGGTGTTTTCGTCTGTAATTTAATGAAATGTGTTCTCTCTCTTATAGCGCCACCTACCATCAACATCCACTTCATGAATCAAGTCCCGTAACTCTGTATCGGTGGGCGTGTGACCCATGGACTTGAGTACGACTCCGAGTTCTGAAGCGGTGATTCTGCCGTCGCCGTCCTTATCAAACATATAGAAGGCCTCACGGAGCTCTGAAATAAAAACATCAATGTTTAAAGGATGACATGAAATTTTTAAATTTAGATTCTGGCGCATGATGTTGTCCGAATCTCGAATCATTTCTACGCGACGCTGTTGGGTTAACATCTTGTTTATGTTCACTTAAACTTGTGATAGGCCAAATAAACATATTTAGATATTACTTGAATTGGGCCGGAAAACGGGGCCATATTATCATGCCCTTATACCGATGACCTCACTTCCGGTTCCTCTATTGAATAATGTTTCGGGCAAGATTTTTTTGTCGCTATAACAACCGTTTTATGCCATTATTTAGATATTACACATTTCTGATTGGCTATATCGGTTTTCGAATTTTACCATTTTCTGAATTCTCTCCTTAAAAAAAATTTATCCAGACAAATTTCCCTAAAAAGCAGATTTATAATGTAAGTAAAATGTTTTATTTAAATCACATGCATACGTTGTGATTCTTATCTAAAAGCAAGCTTTTCCGTGACTTGATGGAAATTTAAAATAATATGTTGTAAATATCAAATTATAAAGGTCCTCTGCATCAATATCATTTCGTTTTAACACTTAAGAAATCGATTCGTTTACTGTATAATGGAAGATAATTTTTAAGGCAGTATCAAATTATTCTTTCTAAAACGAACATGCGAAACCCGAAAAACATTAAAACGATCAATCTCCCGAAGACATAGTGACAATAATTAATTATAGTTGTCATGTATTGTTACAATCAAACAAGAAACTTAAATTTGATAATTTCAACTGGCATCTTTATGAATGTAATGACGATCTTTTATCGGCCAACAGTCACGTGCATTCTCGCTACAGTCAAAAACAGACACGCGCACGTGTTAGTTTGATAGAAACACGAGATGTTAACACTTTTGTTGTTGAGACTTGCATTTATGGAAATATAAATGTCAAACACGACAAGCTTCTAAGTCTAATACCGTAGGTAGCTGTCCTAACATTTAATTGTATGTTTGCTTGGGATACATAAATTAACGACTCACAGATACTTTATTTTTATTTTTTTTGCACTGTAAAACCCTAACTAAATGGATATATTATTCCGGTTAATGCAGAATTTCACAATTTTAGATCCTTTCGTGACCTCCCGGCTGCCGTAGAACTACTCAGGTCACGTGATATTTCGGTTACTGCAGAACTGCACGAATCGAAGTTTCAGCAACCATATGAACAACATGAGTTCCTATGACCTTTCCGCAGCCATGTTACATGTAAACATGGCTTTTGATGAAATATCTGTTATCTATTTTTTTAACTTCACTGTGACTTTCTACGCCATTACATCTGACTATAATACTTGCTAGTCAAAGGATCGAGTCTTAAGGTATTCGGACACCATATCACTATACGAGGTCACATGACCTTCATGCTATAAGAGTTCGACCCTTTTCATTTCACAAAGTTAGCTCCCTTTGTTTCACACTGAGTTGATGTATAAAACGATAAGCCTGTTGAGGGACAAAAATTGCGACCAGGTGACCTTAGAGCTACTACAGGACTATACGAGGTCACGTAACATTTTGTCTACTGTAGAACTACATTAGGTCACATGATCTGCTGTTGTAGAACTACACAAGGTTACATAATCTGCTGCTTTGTAACTACACGAAGTCACATGATCTGCTGCTGTAGAACTATATTAGGTCACATGATCTGATGCTGTATTTCTCTTCCTGGCTACCGTAGATCCACATCATCTATATACGAGCAGTTGTGACCTTTTGGCGAACATAGCATTAAAATATATACAGGCTTCGTGATCATTCGGCTTCCGTACAATTGCACAAATTCGAATGGTTAATGTTTTCAACATAGCCTGGTTAATGCTCGTGTGACATGACATTTTCCAGAGTAAGTGGAATTAAAAACAGTGTGTGAATTTCTGTAGAAAATATTCCATAAATGGCCCAGACTAGGTCTTCATTTTGAGATGGTCGAAGTGAAAATAATCATTTTTGTTTTGGAGAAAATTGTGTTGATTTAAGAGCAGGTATGTTGAGGTCATAGAATGGGAACGAATCGACGCTTTTAGAGGAATTCTCAGATAATGTGTTAAATACATGTTAACCAATAAAGACTTTGCAAAGGTATTATAAATACTCTAATCTAGTTTTCTTATTCTTGGGATCTGAAAATAGTCCAGGTTATTATCAAGCTTGTTGTAGACAAAATTGCTTGAAAAATCAATTCCCTGTGTAAAACATTTCATGCTAGCAAATGGACCATTTATGATTTTAATTCTTGCATTCTACTTTAAAATAAAATGTTGCTTGCGGGAACTTTCAGATTTTAACATTTATTAAGATGTCAAGGAAATACAGTATAAATAGAGATGTGAAGGTTATTGGTTTGACTCCATAAATAGAGATGTGAAGGTTATTGGTTTGTCGTATTATAGAATGTTTAAGATCAAAATTTTCCCTATAAGGAGGCAACTTTGTTCAAATTCGTTAATCTGTCTTACCATAACTTAACCTCACAAAACCATAAACATCTTTTTGAAAATATCCTTTTTAAAATGATAAATTTTCGTTTGTGAACTAAGTGTGATATACCTTTATAACGAATCTACATTTACATTCCTGTAAATCATAATAAACGATCCTATTGGATAAACTTATTTCAAAATTCATGAACGGTCTTATTTGATCAATCCTATTATGACATGTTTATGCCATCCGCTTTTTTTTAATAATACCGTATAAGTCTACATAATATTTGCAAAATAACACGACTCGTCGCAATAATTATCTCAAAAGGTCGTGATACGGTTATACGACCTAATAAAATTATGATGACAGAAATATGTCACCAAATTTTTACATTCGTTAGTAGGTTAAATGAACTGAATATTGTGAAATCTGCTTTAGTTTTTTTTCTGGTCGCATCATTTGAGGTTGAGTCGTTAATGAAAATAAAAAAGGTGGAGTGAAGGAAGCATGTAAACCACCAAGTGCTGCACCCACGTGACATTTCCGGGTTAACAAGAGTTAATGGTGTCATCTGCTGGTCAGATCGTTAGGAACACGGAACAATAGAGTGAATATTCCCAATGAAGCCACAGTACCGTATTTTGATACGATTTTGTGGCACAGCAGCACTAATGTAACCAGTTCGTAACATTCCAATAACTCTAATCAAGTGTTCATGGTGGGTGTTGTTATATAATTCTATTGTTCTCCGACGCAGCTTTGTACCTGCTTTGAATTATCTCCCTTACTGACAACAGTTCACCAGCCCACGAACCACTAACCAAGGCCAAATTACACAGGAGTTGAGAGTAAAAGTGTGAAGTTTATTATTATTGCTATCTTAACGGCTCGTCAACACACAAATGGTCATTATGGCCCTCAACCGGCGAAAGAAATAGCAATTCAAAAAGGAAATAACACCAAACAGACAAAAAGGTAAAAGACAAATGCTAAAAACATCCAATGATTAAATTATCACAAGATTAAAATGCTTAGTCATATTCTATAACATAGACCAACATCTTTCAGATAACCTAGAATTTTATTAATCTGAATAGTTTCAAAAAGAGTCTTTAAACTTGTAACGATAAAAAAATTATCGAGTAGACAGAAGGTCAATGCAGTCCAATAAAGATATTTAACGGTGAATGGCTCATCACATCCTATGCACCGAGGATTATCTTCGTCTTTCAACATATATGAATGTGTAAGGTATGTATGGCCCATTCGAAGACGGACAATGACAACTTCGTCTCAATGGTTGTCTCTATAGTGCGGAGACCATCCTCCGATGATTGGTTAAGTTAGAGCTAGAAATATTGCGAAGGACAATACGAGGGTCATTAAGTAATTTCTGTTATTAGTTCATGTACAAATTTTCTATCAATAAAGCACTATCACAATAGTGCTATCCATGTCGTATATATGGCGCAGTAGTTTTCCGTCGATAGGTGGCAGAACCTGCTAGTAGTGCACTTCCTTATGCATTCTTTTTTCTGAAGAGCAATTTCTTCCGAAGGAGAGAAAAGAAAAAGGGACTTAGGTGTAGCGTATGATGTGTGGCCAAACGTACGACTTTCTCTTGTTTTCGACTGTACAACAATACTTTTGTGATATCAAGTGTTGTCGTGAATAACATGTGGGTCATTCCATCCTCTACTTGGACGTTGTCACTTAGGAATATATGCTTTTCCTTTCTGTGTATGATATCTTCCCGTTCTTCGCGCCACTTATACTTTATTTATCACCGGCTTTGCTGATTTTTTCTTACTATTCATAAGTCTTTATGATTCAAAGTGATAAACTCATGTTTCGTTATCTGTAAGTAGTACAGACAGTTTTCTAGAGTTTAAACTGCTAGCCCTTTAAAAGGTTTAAAGTACAGTTTCAACTCCTGTCATGTTAGATGTCAGAAAAACGAAAATCCATCGAAAAAAAAAAAAAAAAAATTAAGACTTCAAAGACTTGGGTAGTATGTAATGCAGGTTGTGTTTTGTAATGACCACCATACCGGCCACATGTATATTGTAGCTTGGAAACAGTTTAGCGATCAATGTTATCTCAGTAGAAACGCTTTGTTTGATCCTGAAATAACTGGCCTGCCTGGCATTGCTTCCACTGTCATTCCAATTTTACCATTTTAGGGTAGTCGGATGACGTAACGGTAGCACATTGGTCTTTTCACCTCGACGTCCGAGGTCCGATTCCCGGAATAGACGTGAAAAAGGCATAAAGTTACCTGCCCGACCACGTGGGGTTTACCCAGGTACTCTAGTTTCCTCCCACAGTAAGGCCGCTATCGTGCCACCGAGAGTGATTAATATAAGTTGGATGAACTTTTTTCAAAATTGTTGTAAAAAGAAAAAAGATATACCAGTCATAAATTTGACGGATAACATGGCTGAGCTCGATAATATAAGTTGGCGATTTCTGTATGAAAACTATATTGCATATTAATACAGGACAATGTGAAAGTAAACTTACACAGTCGAATTCCT